TTGACTAATCATTATGCAAATTAGGTAATTAGTATCCACGGATTATTACAAAAAACTAATCAAAACCTAGCATTAGTCCAGAGCATGTATGTACAAAGTTTCATCAAAATCCAATGAGTGGTTGTTTAGATATCAGTGGAACAATCATGGTACAGCTAAAAATCAGCTAATTATCATGCAAATTAGGTAATTAACGAGCATGGATTTTTACCAAAACCTAATCAAATCTGCACATTGGCCCAGAGCATCTATGCACCAAGTTTCATCAAAAACCGATGTATGGTTCTTGAGATAGCAGTCGGAACAGTCGGACAGCAGTCGGACACACATACACACACACATACAGACACACTAACTGCAAAGACTCCCATTTTGTGCTTCGCACATGGTAGTCAAAAAATATAATGTATATGAAAAATAAATACATATTTAATAACAATTGAAAAAATAAGTCAGATAGTCACCGAATATCTCATTTCTTGTAATCATTGTGAAATTATAGTTTTATAGCAAACTAATGACTATAAATATAATTAACAATTAAATTAATATTTGAAATACTTACATGTATATATTTTCTTTCATTTCCTCAATAATCTTGACATTAGAAGAGAACATAACAAGGTATGTGGTATTCTACTTATAAGTCTGTGTGACCTAAACAGCAATTTCCACTAAATACATGTACGACCTTTGAACTGCTGAGATATTTGCTTGCTTCTTTGTGTTTCACAACTATAATCTCCAACATCACAATTTTTAACTCTTTGAACGCAAAGTCAACTTGTTACCTTTCCAAAAAAAAAATAAAACCCACATTTTCCCCAAATTTTGATTTAGCTAATACATGTATTAGGCAATTTTATTCATTTGGCCCTAAATTATCAAACAATATCACATAAAAAGAGGCAAAATTGCTCACACAAATTTTGGCATCAACTGAGCGTACATCAATTTGCATCAATTTCTGCCACAGGTTAATTTGAATATTTTTCAAACATTCTTGTATTCTTAACACGCATGTATAATGAGCACTTGGACATCTACGTGATTCTCAAAAGCAGTAGAAAGATGAACAGATCATTAGCTCCCTCCATAACCCGAAAACATTTCTGTGATTTATTCTTAACTTTTGGATACATCCACTTACGGGTATCTTTTACTCTGAATGCTTCACAGAATGTGCAAGTTCATGCTGTTGTACACAAGAGCTGACCTACTTTTTTGTGTTTGGCAATGTTTCTGTGGTTATTTATCACATACCGGTATGCTGAATTTTGGCTTGAAAAAAAATATTATAATCGAAATTCAAAACTATAAGTTATATAGCACATTTGTAAAAAAATGCTCAATCTTGAGATATATAATGTTACCTGTAGCAGAGATTTTGGATGATCAACCATGCCACCAACAGCAGTATGTTTATGTTTGAAAACTTGATTTCAAATGTGGCTTGTTCCACAATATAAGTCAAGAAACGTAGACAGAGTAAAATGTGAGCTTAACATTGCTAGTAGCTATAGACTGATTTTAATATTAAAACAATATATATTGTCACTGTTGGAATTTGTTTGTGTACATAAGTTATCATTATCACTGAAATTCCATCTAGTGACAATAGAGGAAATTTTTGTTTGTTTAATGTGAAGTTTTTTTTTTTTTAATTTAAGTCACAAAGTGTGGAACTATTTCAAATATAATCACTTTTCTTTCTACTTCAGATCTATTCCAATGTTTATCAAGTTTACTGCTATCTGTTCTCTCAGACACCTTGATGGGTTCGTCTTTCAACTACCAGGTGAGCAGTTTGGTGATAGTATTGAGGTATTCGGTGACAGTGTCCGTCGAGTTCTGACAGTGCTGTCCGACAACGACCCGGCTGGATACCACTGCATGAACAAGTCTTTTATTGGGAAAAAAGGATGGTGTTTTGAATTCAACAGAGAAACATTTTTCATCACAACGTTTGCGCCACTTTACCCGGAAACAAGCTCAAGATTTAATTTCGGCTCTCCCCATAGCTTTATTCTTTTTCAACCCGAAATATCATTTTGGCTGCATAGCCTACCAAAAGATACACCGCATACGAACTGGGAAAGTCCCAAAACAGTTAGGGACAGGATACGGATTGCATATAAGAAAAGTGGGAGGGAGTATCTGATTCGGGACACTCTCATTTTCCCTGTAGTACATGACATACTTCCTGCTGTGAATATGAATGGCGCCCTCACAGAGTGGTGGGTTAGAAAGGAAAATGACAAGGGAAAACAATCTAAGAAAGCCAGTGAATCATCTTGTCCGTTCTTAAAAGCACCACAATCATAGCACAGTTATATGTATTGTAAGATCACATGAGACCCATATAAATAAGACGACTGTAAAATGCTTTGAACGTTTTGTTTTTTTCTTTCATAAAGGAAGTAAAGCTATTTTTCGCAATATTTTGGTATAATTAAATTAACAAAAACTTCTTAATATTGATGACAAATTTTTGAGAGTGTGAAATATCACACCATTCCCAAGAATATGGATTCAATAAACTGTGAGTCCTCAGAAATGGCTGCCACCAATTTTTGAATGTTTGATAACTGCAGTGATGCTATATCTCTCATGTGACTTTGACATATGAATATAATTTCTAATTTTTTAAATTAAACTTAAAACTAAGCATAATCTTGAAATGCATGATATTGTATAGTGGCTGAAACTGTTCAGGTTTACCGGTAACTGAAGTTTTTAACTATACTATAATTTTGGAGATATACTGTAAAACATGTTGAAAAAGCGGCATGCAATTTTAACGAATTGTGGACATGCTCGCGAGAAAGACATGTTTTACAGTAATTCAAAATAAATAACAAAATCTAACTGATTTCAATTTGGTACAAAAAATTTTCATTGTCAAAATAATCCAAGTACTCCGTCTCCCCATATGTTTTACCCACAATGCTTTGTGACTGCAAGTCTTGAAGGGAGAGCAGTTCACCTTTAGTTGTGGAATAAACAAAATAGTGAAAGTAGTCTCCAAATGTCTGATGTTGAATTGACCAGTTGTATTCTGTCTTTGCAAGTAATGGCCTTCTGAAATGTGGCTGACCAAATGTTACTGATATAAAGTGTCCTCCAGTCTTTAAAACTCTGCTAGTCTGGAAAAAATAAAACAGTAATTATAAAATGGAAAATATGATATATCGCAATTTGATCAAAATGTGATGTAGGTTTTGGCTCTATTTTTTTTATTGTTATTTTTGTTTATTTATGACTACTTTTTTTTACTTGGTGTTATTATTTTATATCATATGCTTATTTAACTCAGTTAATATATAATACTAAATCAGTTAATATATTAGTGAGGAAACGACATGGGGAAAATGGCTGCCAATTGGCCATGCTTGAATGAAAACACCCTGTTCATCTCCATGAATTCTTCATAGACTAGAATGTCAGGATTTTAGACAAAATGGCAGTTAATTTGACAGATTTGATCAAATCACAAAATAACATACATGACCAATAAATATTATACTTATATGCAAATTAGGCAATGTATTAATGAGAAAATGACCACCAGTCTGGCATTTTTGTTTGAATCGTGAAAAAAAGGTGCAACTGTAACCCTATATGCATGATAATGATACATAGTTGGAATAAAACTGGTTCCAGACATGTTTAATTATCAGAATATTGCAATTATGAGGCCCACAATGGCTATCAGACAGCCATACTTGATCAAATACTAATGTAAGTCATTGTGCACATGTAATTCATCATACACATGTGTGTTAAGTTCACGTGTCTCAGAAATGACTCCGAATTCATGCACAGCCAGACGAACGGGCAGACAGAAGGAACCCAAATTAATAGTCTTTGAATTTGAAATTCATTTGCAATGAAGACTATATTTATATAATGTATTTATACTTTCAGCATTTTATTATTATACTATCCTTTCATATATGATGTGAAACCAGTAATAAATTGTGAAAGCTAGAAATCATCTCCCCATTCTCACATGGAAATTGACTGATGATTTTTTGAATAATTGAGAACGAAAAAATCACAATTTCTCATTTGTGTAAATGTTCTAAAAGAAACTGCATCCCCTCTGTTGCATTGTACCATTTTAATAGAAGCCGCGGCTTTTGATACAGATTTTACAGTAGACTTTGCAGGTGAAAGAGTGAATATACATAGATAGATGGGAAAATATAGTGCCACCCAGTGATCATAAGAAACACCCACTCACCAAAAGTTTAGTTGACCAGTGATCAAAGGATATACCCCTTACCTCATTCAGTACATTATGCATCAATTTCTTTGCTTCCTCAGAAACATTCCACGGATCTTTTTCTTCTACTAATAAAGAATCAATGGTTCCTTTCTCCAAAACGACATCAAAACTACTATCCTGAAAGTCTAATTTCCTATGTCCATTGTCCTCCACTCCATTCCAGGACAATTACGATATCTCTGCTTCATTTTATCAATACACACTTTGGAATAATCCACATTAACTATATCTGTGTATCCATCATCATACAAGTCTTTGCTTAGTAAACTATTACCACACCCTAGAAGAAGATGAGAATTCCAGAATAGTATATCGCCCTCTAATGTCAACTTTCTACAATACTTTTGTTTTCTAATACAGTATTTGAAATTTTGTTTAAAGCTTAGACTCAACTGAAATGTCGACCTCATCAGTGCTTCTTTCATGGGTAAATAAATAAATTGTGAAAATATGAGCACAAATGATTTCTTTATATTATATTTAGGTTTGAGTAACCAATTATTCGAATAAGTATGTAAACTACTTCATATTGGACATGAACACGCCATGCATTAGACCTATGCTATTACAGCCTATGCTGTAAAGATGCCAGCCCATATACCTGTATGTTCAGTACACAGTCAGCTGGCACACACGTGATAATAAAATAAAAACGATATTTACTATATTGTCATTCCAGCTCAGCAGCCAATCAGTGATGGCCTTACATTCAGATGACAATTTCGGTTTCCAATACCTCAGGAAAGTGTTCGATGTTCTTCGTGTAATTAGGTGTTCGTATGCAAGGGATTTTTCCACACAAAAACGCTGAATTCGGCCGAATTTTGTTATCGGTTGGCTTAATATAACTCCAATGAATCGCATTTTTGTGAAAGATTGGTATTCTTATCCTGATTTGTAGGAATCTTAAAAATGTGTTTCACAACTTGTCTCTTATTTAGTTTTATGCTGCATTCAAGATGCCCCCCCCCCCATATAGTAAATATCGTATTTATTTTAATATTACGTGTGTGCCAGATGACTGTGGTTCAGTATACCTATGACATATTGGTAATCACTACCATGGCAAGGTTTAAAGACAAGAAAAAAATTATATAACTGGTGAGCTCCTCATTTTTTAATTCTGTCATGCGACACATCCCCATGTGTTGGGTGAAAAGAGTGATTTCCGGGTGTTCAATTACCATAAAATATTTAAAGCAGGGCTGACATCACCTGTGCATGCGTCAGATGGCCATAGCGTGTCATTGTTTACAAACATTTTTAGCATATGTTGTTATCGTCGCTTGAGACTCAATTCTTGCGCATGCACAGGTGATGACCCTCTCGCTTTAAATACCGTTTGACAGTACCAACAGTAATTTACACATTCATAGTTACTCTATTGGTCAAAATAAAAAGGGATATTATTTTAAACTTGTAATGACCCTGCTTAAACATGGTTATCTGTTAACAATGGGTAATTCCAGTAGATAGACTCTATGCCACAATTACCCAATAGCAGACTCCATGTAGTATTTTATTCTTTTGACTATTCGCTCCTTACATTGAAAGGTCACATCTGTTAGTCATATAGTAATATGTAAGCACCTTTATCCTATCATCATTACTTTATTTTAAGTAATTAATTAACCGAAAACATCGTGCTATGGTTCACAGATCACTGCAATAAATGTCATGTCAGTACACCAAGAAAAACCAAACATACAACTCCAGTTTGTAAATCATAGTTCGTTGATGGTCTCACGGTTAGCCACAAGGCGTGTACAAACCATGCTGAAAAAAACTGTTCTGGATATTGTATGTTATATAATATGCATACATATCAAAATTCTTCCTTTGAATACATGAATTTGCTCATATCACAGTGTACGTGTTCATAATTGTGTTATTATTATCACTACCGGCGACCTTGGTCTGGGCAGACATTCAGACGCGGTTAACTGCATACTATTTAACTGTTGTCATCTGTGCATGCTGACATAAAACACGTTTATTATCAGCGGTCTTCCTTCTCAGGCTCCCCGTATGGCATGTATATCCCGAGTGTTATTGCACGTACCGGAATAGGTACATGTGACGTGTTGAATGCATCGTAATCTATATACATCATACTTACCAAGTACCAATATACGGTCTGTTTTCTTGATCTTTCCTACCACGATGTGTCGAAAGGCTGGGTATCCTGTGAAACCATTCGTACGAGTCCTCGGACCCATACCTCTCATCCCAGTAGTCCTTGCTTTTATATCGATGGTTTGTATTTTCCATTTGCGTATTAGCTGCCCAATTCAAGTGTGCCCATGGACAAAATAGCACTCTCAAACAATATGAGTTCAATAAAAGCGTCTACTGATACAACTTCATGCCACACAGCGCCATTTTGTGATTGCGCCTCCTAGTGGCGTATTTAGTAGTGCTTTCGTTGGCGCTCATTTATTTAAAAAAAATCCGCATTACAGATCTAAGAAATGTAATTTATGTGGCATGATGACGCATGAAATCTTGTTTTAAAATTCGTTAAAAATGGTATCAAATAGTTGAACTGGTTTAATCATGAATTAAAATGGAAAATATTTCTTCAGAAATATAGTTACTAGTATATAGTCGTAGTGTATAGCAGTCTGAATAAAATAAGATCCTAGTTTGAGTTTTTTGTACAATATTAATTGTGTACAATTATTTATTTTTATTATACATTTTCTTTTACTTTATTTTATTTTGATTTATTAATTATTTACTGGCAGAGTTTTGGTAATCGTGAACGACTAATGGTGCTTGGAATGAATCGCTGTCTTCTATTGTAATAGCGAAATAAAAATGGTGCTGCAAAGTACTGTATATTAGCCCGAATCAATTTTCTGAAAATAATTTTCAGTTATTTTGTATGAAGTTTATTTTCACTGATTTTTGATGAGTTGAATGTAAAATAAAGGAAAACAGTTATATTCGCTGAATTTAAAATATATGCACTCCCCATTAATATTGTCATTTTATACCATTAAGCTATTAATCGGTGCCCGAGTTTGGCACAATGTTCGGTCGTGACAACAACTCTATATTAGGCGTTCTGCAGATGTCGAAAATCCGGTATAGTTACAGAACTTATGAATGTCTGTTTCCGTTATACAGCCACGGCTTTTAAGAAGGCGGATGCACTCGTTCAAGCGAGCTATTCTTATTAGGTCTGACCAAACGTGCGAAAACAAAATTATTTTAGCCTTACTAGCAAGTATTATTCCCTGGTTGGATTGTATGTTTTGCACAGCGTTTGATTTTATGAAGATACAGACCTGATAAAAACCCACGTACGTTCAAGTTGTCATAAACGATCGATACCCTAGGCAAAACACATACTGTTACGCCGGTTTTACACACAAAAACGACAAATTCGGTCGAATTGTGTTAGTGGTTTGCTTAATATTACCCCCGACGGATCGTTTAGCTGTGAAAAGATGCTATTTTTTCGTGATTTCCCAACTTGTCTTTTTATTTAGTTTCAAGCCGTATTCAAGATACACATATAGTAAATATCGCATTTATTTTATTATCACTTGTACGCCACCTGACTTTGCTTGCCGCACCCACGCATACATTTGTTCCTTCGGCCAAACATTGCTTCTAGGCTGTGGCTATAACAAATGAGCCAATTGTTTCGTTACATATAATTAGAATAATTGCATTTTACTGAAACTGAATGACTCGGTCCATTCTATTAATACAGATGAAACTGAAAATTGCGATTGTAATAATTTTTTTCACTATGAAAACAGAGACTAGAAACAAAATGGGACAGTGTTATCTACAAGGAAACAAAACTAATGAACTTTGTATCGTTATAACAAGTTTATATTTTTTATAATATTTAGACATGAATGCCCAACCGTGGTTATTTTTGCATTATAGCCCATGATAGGTATTGTAGCATTACACTGTGTGCATGTGAATGCGTTTTATTATTATGATGACCAAACAATCCATGTTGTACACATGATAGGAAACAGGATTGCATTATAATAGCAATTCGAAACTTACATAAACTCACCGCCCCACACAGCATATAGACCTTGAAACTATGTTGAAAGAAACTGTATGGTATTCCACTATAGGATATACAGTGTTATATTATAGCAATTGAGGACTTCGATTCCAGCCTGGCTGCATTATAGGCAGTTTAGTATTACAGGGGCGGATACAGGATTGTTTATGGAGGGGGAGGGGGCAAACTTTAAAATCGCCAGGTTAATGTTAATGATTCCTTTATATTATACAAAAACAAATTGAATAAATTTGTCAAGGGGGGGGGGGTCCCGGACCCCAAGAACCCCCTCCCCCTCGATTCGCCACTGCATTATAACATAGCGATCGTCCCGTAGCATACAGTGCAGCAAGTGATATAAGTAACAGGAATGTCGAAAATTGACTGGTTGGGGATGGTTATGAAATATACGAGATTACGAAATGTATACTTAGTAAAGAAAGCCTGGCAATGACATTTATTATATAGTAAATACTATATATTAACAAAATTAATAGCCATGCACCATCAATTCGATGCCAATGTCCGGGGTATCATAATACCTGGGATAGGGTGTTTGATTCCTCATACATTATGATTTTGCGACACAAGACATCATGATAAAAGTTCAAAAAATGTCAAGACATAATAACGAAACAAAATCAAAATGCTAAATGCCAATCTAATACAAAGACAATATAAACATATAAACTTAATTTTAATACAATGTATACAAAAAACACTCACAGCAAATAAATATAATGTTGGCACAGCTCTCACCCCATATCCGACTGGGTTCCGCTACGTGGTATATTTTTTGTTCATTCCGCATGTTAATTTTCAGAAAGGTGAGAAAAGTTGGCGTCAACGGATTAATGGAACACAGTTCAAGTTATTATTTTATACCTGGGCTCTGAGCAAATACAGGGTTACCCAAATTAAAAGCAACACACATCGTTCGGATACAAATACAGTACCCACGTAGAAATACTGTCAGCCCCAACATTCACTTGTGTTCATATGTGCAGTAAAATGCGAAGCTCGACCCTGAGTTTTTTTAAA